AAATGTCATATACCTCAAAACTGCAACAAATTCATGAGATAATCAGTTTAATTGAGAATGCAAACTGATTTCAGCTAGTTTATGATTCCTTCTTTCTTTCTGGTCTTCTTCATTCCCTTTTTCTCCTCTCTTTCTCTCTACCTCCTGTCTCTTCCTTCTTTCTATTCTTTCTCTTCCTCTCCCCTTCCACTTTTCCTTTCTTCCTTCTCACACTCATGACATCAGTAATTACTTACTTAGTATGCTAGAATATACATTGTTACTTCCATGTTTTTCAAAGCAGAAAGCATGTATGTAACAATCACATGTTTGGACAAACTCTAAGAGGTGTTGCTGATTTTCACAACCTGTTAGAAGACTAAAAGATCTGCTTTCACAAGAGCTTCTCTTTTTAGCAGTGATAGAATTACACTTGTCAAGCTGTTTGGTTTTCACTACAAGGGAAGACTTGCATTACATTTTTATGGCCTGAAAGAAAACCCTGCCATGCTTTTCACGTTATGTAGTCTATAAATAGGTTTTCTCATTCAGCAGAAAGGAAGCAGAAATATGATAAAGTATTACATAAGGTATTTAAATTTCCTGGGGTTCATGAAACAAACAGAACAATGACACCAAATTTCTCTTACATATTACGGTCTGCATCAGCAGTAATTCTTAATTTGGCAACCTAAGAAGAATATTGTAATAGAATCAAGGTCGAAGGCATCAGAGGATATTTTTAGACTTCTGTGGGGTCACGATCTGTTCTTTTTAGGTGTGGATTTCACGTATTAAAATTCAGTGGCTAGTTTTCCAAACTTCATAATGCCCTTAGGGAAAATAGCATAATAAAAAACTACTGTGGAATTCCAAAGGCTTCCTTTGTTACTACAACCAATACATTTAGATTTTAATTCCAATATGGTTTTCAGTAGTATTTTGACATGTTGGTAATTGTGTCCTGGATCCCCGGGCAGCTAGCTGTAAGAGGCTTCTGCGATTTGGCTGTCGAAGAGCCATAGAGAAAAGGACACTCATTCATTGCCAGTTAGAACAAATGGCAGCTTAAATATCAGTCAAGCAACCAATAGGTAATATTCTGGGTGTCTAAGGAACTTTTGCTAAAACAAAATTGCCTAAAGAAAGAAAAAGAAAATATTCAGGGACTTTGTAAGTAGATTTCTTTCTTTTTTTAATTTATTTAAGGAGGAAAAAAAACAGAAAAAGGGTACAAGTTATACAGAATTTCAGAAAAAATAAACAGTAGGAAATCACTAGTTGATAGATTACATATTGTCATCTTAGAAATACTTGTTCAAGTTACAAAATTAAAGCATATAAAGTGGACTTTCAAACAGTGAGACTGCAAACAGTTCTGTTCAATGATCCAACAAAACTCAGTAATATGGTTATCTATCTTATACATTCAAATATACATACAGTTATATCCTTTAGAGCACTTTTTTTTCCTCTCTTTTGTACAATGACAATTACACATTTTGGTTTTTATTACTCTCACAGTTCTTATTAATTTTTTTGAACGGAGTAAAACCAAATGTGACATAATAAAACAGAGTCAGTCAAATCAAAAGGATGGACATAATACATAATGTAAAAACAAAATACAAGGTGATCAACAATAGTTACCATACTACCTCTTGCGATCTTAAAAAGAATTGCCTATATCATCAGTTACAATAAAATTGAACAAAACAGTAAAGAACAAAACCAATAAAACCAAATCATTGGAGTCATTACAGGACTTCATAAGAAGATAATAGTCAACCAGAATGGGCGTCATAATGAATCTTATTGTCTTCACAGTTGTTGCCTATACTTTCAAACTTGGTACTATCAAGCAAAACAGAATAGAGGAAAATCAGTCAAAACAAGATGGTGAGAGCAATACAGGGTTTCAAATCAAGTTAATAGGAAATCAAAGTAGGTTACTATAATATATCCTGCTATTTTTTATTTATTTTTCCCTTAATTAAAAAGATAAAAATTTAAAAAAGTAAATAATAAAAAAGGAAATTGAGATAAAAGAGGGCATAACAACAAGACAGCGCAGGTCAAACATAACCATTTAAGCAAAATAGTGTTTCGCCACAAGATATCCCGACATAAAATTAGTTACCATAGTGTCTCTTTGCTTGAAATCTTTGAGCATAACTTCTTGTACTGTAGCATCAAACATATCAAGACAATGTAAAACCATTCAAGAGAATGACAGTATTACAGTATAACAGAATCAACTAACAGAAAATAAACAATGGCTTCTGTATAATCTCCTTTTCTATAAAAGTTTTTGTTTATATTATCACATATAATAAAATCCATTAAGATACAACATATTAAGACCCATGGAGACAGAAGAACAAACGCTTGATGGGACTTCAAAACAAGATGATATTAAATCAGCACTAGCTCTTATGATGTCTTGCTTTCTCCAAAATAGCTGTTCCTACTATCCAACCTTCTCTGCCTCATTTCTGTTGAGCTCTTTTTCTGTCATTAGTTGTAAGTTTGTCTTCTTCATTTCGCTTTCTGCTCCATTCATTGTGGCCTCTCTGCCACTGTTTCTGGAACCTTGGTATTTTTCATTTTTAGAATATCCTGCAGTATTCTCTGTAGAGTTGAATTGGTGGTTGCAAATTCCCCTAGTTCCTCTTTATCCTGGAAGCACCTTGTTTTTCCATCAATTTCTAGGGACAGTTGTGCAGGATATATCAATCTTGGCTGGAGGTTATTATCTTTCAAAGCTTGAATTATTTCCCCCATGCTCTTCGTGATTTGATGGTTTGTGCCGAGAAGTCTGCTGTAATTCTGATGGATGTTCCCTTGTAAGTGATCTGTTTCTTGTTTCTGACGGCTTTTAATATTCTGTTCTTACACTGGATTTCTGGAATTTTGATTGTTATGTGCTTGGGTAGCTCTGTTTAGGTTGTAGGTGGCTGGGGTCCTGTATGCCTTATATATTTGAGTATCTTTATCTTTTGCTAAATTAGGGAAATTCTCCTGGATTATTTCTGTGAGTAGCTTTTGTAGTTCATCTGTTTGTGTTCCTACTTCTTTTATGTTCTTAATTCTTAAGTTATAGATCCTCTTATCATCTTCTAGCCTTTGTATTATTGTTGTTTGTTTTCTTGTTATTTTTAAGAAGTTTTTCACTTCATGCTCCCACATTACAAATCTGCCCTCTAGTTCGGATAATCTATCCTTAGTTTCTTTCAAGCTGTTATGCCAGCTTTCAATAGAGTTTTTAGTTTTCTGGTAATCTCTTTGAACCTGCTTCATGTATTCTGTTTTCTCTATTTTCTCGATCAAACAATTCTCCCCTTTTTTTCTGTTCTTCCATTCCACCATCTGTTTTTTCTTGGGTGGTGCTTAGCATTTCTCTAACTATTCTATTTATATCTTGCTTTATTTCATTAAATACTTCACTTTTGAACTCATCTATGAGGCTCCAGAGATACTGCTTTATGTCTATTGGTGCCGTATCTGATATTGCATATTTTCTGTCCTCATTCTCCTTTGCATTAAACTTTCCTGGATCAGTGTTCTCAGGATTGGGGACTGAGGACCCTTTTTTGTTTCTCTCTTTTCCCATACTTTTTGTTCCTTCCATACAAGCGTATATAGGAGGCCCAGTTTCTTTCTTTGTTGGTTACAATTTGTTTGAATTGCACGGGCTAGGCATTCCCGCCCACTGCAGTGTACTAGGGAGACACAGACCTGGGCAGCCTCTGCTGGGTCTTCCCCTCTAGGTCAACCTACTGAAGGCTTCACTGCTAGGGTGCACCGCCAGGCTCTGGGACCTGGTTTGGGCTAGCCTACTGGGTCTTAGTCCGTGGCTCACCCAGACCAAGCGCTCCACACCAGTCTGACTTGAGAGGGGAATATGTGACTAAAGTTACTGCAATGTCCTGTTTCTGCTAGCCTGCCCGGTCCCGGAATGTCCTCTTTTGGAGCCTCCTACTCTATGGAAGGATCCCCATTCCTTTCACTCAATGTGGGCCGATGCAGGCTCCCGGCCAGTCCCGCTCTCAACTCCGTTTGCCGATTCCCACTGTCAGAGCTTTTGCCCGTCTCTCTCCCTGCTTTGCTGATTGGGATGAAGCAGCGGTGGCTGCAGGAAATTCAAATCGTGATTTCCAGTGGCGCAGGTTCCAGCTTCAGCACTGAGATTTTATCTGTTCCAGTTATAGCGTCCAGGATTACATTTCTAGTTGGTTTCTCGCAGCTTAGTTCATTCCTGGGTTGGCAGGGTATATCTCCCCTTGCTTAGGAGTCCTCACACCGCACCATTTCTGGAATCTAAGCTGGCTATCTCAGAGAGCCTCCATAGTTGCTGTTATCTATCCGCCATGTTCTCCCGGAAGTCTCTGTAAGTAGATTTCTTGGAAGACTGTAACCCTTCCCTAAATCTTTCCATTTAGTCTTTTTTTAAGAATCGTATTAATCATATTGTCTCAGCATTTTAATACTAACATTCAGAGTAATCTCTTTGTATTTTGATGTTTTTTTAAAAATGCAATGTGGGGGGGGGGTGAGAGTGTAGCTCAGCTATAGAGGCTATGGCTATCCCCAGAACCAATAAAATAAAATAGAAACGATTGGAAGCCGGGTGTGGTGGTGCACACCTGTCATCCCAGCAATTGGGAGGCTGAGGCAAGGAGGATCACTGCGAGTTCAAGACCAGACTGAGTTCAAAATGAGCTCAGGGCCAGCCTGAACTGCATAGAGCCTGTCTCAAAAAAGGCGAGAGGGAGAGAGAAAGAGAGGGAGAGAGAGACAGACAGAGACAGAGAGACAGACAAAAAGAGAGAAAGAAAATGGAATTTGTATTTCCAAATGCACTTACAAAATTAGAATCTTGTAAATGCATTACCAAATCCAACTGGGCTGGGGATATAGCTCAGTGGCGTAAGTGCCTGCCTGAAGCACAAAATTCCCCGTACCAAAAAAAATTAAAATTCCATAAATGCACAACCACTATCAAATCCAGAAGAAAATTTTAAAAACAATATTAATTGTAATTCTGATTTATTCTATTTGGATTTTTGTCATTGTTGTTGTTGTTTTGGTACCAGGGACCAAACTCATGACCTCACTCTTGCCAAGCAGGTGCTTGTGTCACTGAGCTAAATCTCCAGCCCGCTTTTTCTTAAAAAAAATTTTTTTAAGTTTTTAAATTGTTTATATTATGTACAAAGAGTTTGCATTGTTTCTTTCACTGAACATATGTCCTGGATAATCCATGAAGGAAAATCATTTAAGCCAACTTGATGAAGCCGATATCCTTCGCGTACTGGCGGAAACACTGGCGGCACATGTTCAGCCCGCATTTCGGAATCAGACTGCAGGAACAAGAGCCCTGGCCGAATTTCCTCGGGTGGCTCCAGCAGAGCTGCTGGCAACCCATGTTGCTTCCAGAGGTCCTAGGAGAAAAAAGTTAAAAATATTTTTTGTTGTTGTTGTTCTTCAAATTTTTAAACTATGTTCAAATGATTTTATTTTCAACATAAGTAAAAAAAATGACTGGCGTCTGTTGTTACTGTTGTAACATAGACAATGTATTTACATTCCTTTGATTTCTACTCAATGTGACATGGAATGAGCCCTTGGGAGACAGAGGTTCCTCTTTTGGCGGGGCAGGGAGTACTGAGGATTGAACCTTAGGCCTTAATACCAAGCTACATCCCCAGCCCTCAAAAATTTTTGTATTTGTTTGTTTTTGAGACAGAGGCCCATTACGTTAATAAGTTGCCTGTGAAGGCTTCAATTTACCTCGGCCCCTAGCGTGCTGAGATTACAGGTGTGTGCCACTGCACCTAGCTACTTCTCATTTTCTGTGATCAGGTTTTGTCGGATGTTTACTACCAATCTCTTGGATTTTTCCATTTAATAGACAAGGAATTCAAACCATGAAGATGTTAATTAAATAACTTGCCCAGGCAAACACAGAATTTTAGTAGCGAGGCAGAATTTATTTTCCAGAAATTTTAGGATATTACTCAACCTACCAAGCAATCTAAAATCCTAGTGGAACTTCCTGAAGTTAGAAATGAATTGTAGTTGGTGCCATTGAGCAGTACAGATGCTTCTTCTATTTCCCTAAAAGGGAGAAATAATTAAACAGAATAGAAATACAAATGCAAAATTAAAAGATGATATATGTTTACCTTCTCTATACATTGGAAGATTCCTGCAAGGATATATACCACCTAGTTGTGTAGTAGTTGATTTTTGGGATCAGAACTGTGACATAATTTGATTTTTACATTTAAACATTTTTTGTATTGCTTATATTTATTTCAACTAAAAAGTAAAATAGTCTGGTGTAGTGGACATGCCTGCAACCCCAGCACTAAGAGAGGCTGAGGCAGGAGGACCCCAACTTCAAATCCCACCTGCATAATTTAGGGAGACTATCTCAAAATAAAAATAAAAAGGATTGAGGATGTTGCTCAGTGGTAGAGCACGCTAGGTTCAATTTCCAGCACCAAAAAGTATGACAGGCAACAAATATTTGCTGAATTTCTACAATGTGTCAGCACTATATTTGGAATAACTTAGTGAACAAAACAAAAACTCTTGTTGCCATGAAGCTGGTGTTACTATGGATTTCAAAATTGCATCAATCATCTTTAATTCAAATTTAATCCAAACAACTGCCACAGGAAAAATTAGAGGGAACTGTTTTCTCAAAATACTTAAGAAACAAAGAAGTGTGTTTTTGTCATTGGTTGTTTGTTTTATTTTCAAGACTTGAGAGAAAAATAGAATTCAAGTGATGGTGGAAAAAGCAGACAAAACAAACAGAAACAGGATTCAATGAAAGACAGTATCACAACATATAAACTACTTTTACCTCCAGTATTATTCACATTTGATGGTATCACAAAATTACCTAAATAAAAAGTACAGATTAGGGTTTTCATTTACAACAGTGTGATTTGTGTAGCACATTTTAAAAGCCATATGTAATTTTTGTTTCAGCCTGTGCATTTGTAATTTATTTTAAATTTGTTATTAGTATATGTTTATAATACATAATAATTGCATTCATTCTGGGGAGTTGGCACATGGACGTAACACATCTTAATTCTTTTTATTTCCGCTTTCTCTATGTACCTTTGAAAGGTTGTTTTTTGTTCTTGTTGTTTATCTTTTTGTTACTTGGGTAGCAGATGACAGAAGTGGAAACCTATGAAAAAAGTGAAATGAAACAAAATTCAAGTGGAATTGAGCCTCTGGATCTTAAACCAACTGCTTCAGCTAATTTGCTGAACAAGGTATTGTAAATAGCTTGCCAGAGCAAGGGCACTTACTACATTGCCACTGCATAAACAAGGGGCTCAATTATGACTCAAAATCTCCATTTAATTAAAAATTGATTCCCCTCTTACAAGACTTACTCATACCTGTGATTTAATATTTTTCCATTATCAAACAGCTTAAATTGTTTACCCTTAAAAGGTACTTATTTTTATTTGTATAATACATATTTCTGAAATGTCATTCAGACATATACATGACTACTATAATATTCATGGTGAAGTTCCAATCAAGTTTAAATGTTGCTAAATTTATCTTGAAAATTTTCTCTGCTACATGACGCATTTTAGATTTGATTTGAGTTTGAATGCCACAACAAAGTTTTCCGAAGCCTTTCCGTATCTTGCACATTAGCAGTCATACTGAAGGAAGACCTATTATCCAAGATAAAGTCTGCATCACATAATCATTCCACTGTCACTCCGATAATCCTGGATTCTGAAGTATATAAAAATGTATGTATCTATATATGTCCTTGTATATTATATATAGATGCTCCTTGACTCATGATGGGTTTATGTCCTGATGTACCCATTATAAGTTGAAAATATTGTACGTTCTGATGGAGTCATAGTTGAGCAGTAGAGCACTTACACAACGTACTGGAAGTATAGGATTTGATTCCCTGCACCACAAAAAAACAAGCAACAAAAGTAAGATGAATATGCATTTAAACCCCTAACCTATTGAATGTCATGGTTTAGCTACATGGTACGGTGTAGAGGATGAACTGTTTGCTTTCGTGATCTCTCGTCTGAATGGAAACTGCTCATCCCCGCTGGCAAGCACTGACAAAGGATATAGTGCTAGCTAAGAAAAGAATAAAATTCAAAATATGAAGTATAGTTTCTGTGGAAGAAGCGTCTCTCTTGCAGCATTGTAAAACTGAAAAGCTTGGCTGGGGGTTTAGCTTAGCGGCATAAGTGCCTGCCTTGTAAGCAGGCAGTTGTGAGTTTGATCCCTGATACCGATAAAAAGGAAAAAGACAAAAAAAACCACCAAAACTGAAAAGCTTGTAAGGGACTGCTCTGTATATGTTTTTCTATGAATTTATTTAACTAGTGAATGAAGAAAAGAGCCAAAACCACAAGTGGAAAAAAATTTAATAATGAGAAGAAAGCAATGAATACTTTAGATGTATTTAATATCAGTTTTTCAAGTGTCGATACTTAGCAATTAACCATTCTACATTTTTAAATAATCACATTTTCCCACAAGTGAGGTGAAGTATGTATTACAAATATAATCAAACTATTGTAGACTCTTTTACACACAACCCTGCCAAATGCTACTTTAGTAAAATCAAATAGCCATTCAAGAATTGGTGATTACATTTTTTTGGAATTGTTTATAATGTTTTATTGTTTTGTTCTATTTTTGCTTTTACTTTCAAAAACCATAAGTTCTATTTTATAGAATATAAACTAATTAGACATTGAAAATCTTGGATTCAACCAGGTGTGGTAGCTCATGCCTGTAATCTCAGCACTCAGGAGGCTGAGGCACGAGCATCATTGTGAGTTTGAGACCAACGTGGGCTACAAAGTGAACCCAAGAGCAGCCTGAACTACACAGAGAAATACTGTCTCAAAAAAGACAAAAAAAAAAAAAAAAAAGTGTTGGGAGCCGCGTCTGTGATAGCTCGCCTTGCGCGGCGGACGTGCGGCCTGTGGTAAAGAGCAAAGCCTGAGGTAGATTACCCCTCCCATCAAATATGTTAGTTTCCTGCTTACCGCGTAAACAACCCGCTCAACAATATAGTCTGCCTGGCAACTGATGATGTTAGCCAATCAGCTTGCCTTGCTTACTTTAACATGATTGGACACTGTACCCGTATATATACCGGTGCCACCCCTGGGCGGAAGAAGAAGCCAGGTAGAAGCCCAGAAGTAAAAGCCCAAAAGGAGCCGCGGAGAGCGGACCGGTAGAGGCTTTGGGGCAGACTGAAGCACAAAAGGAGCCGCGAGGAGCGGACCAGAGGAGGCTTCAGCTGGGAGAACCCAGGGCAGGCTGTACGGAGAAGGAAAATAAAAAGAAAAGGTTGTCCACTACCAGACTTTGTCGTGTGTCCTTCCTGCCAGCCGGGAGCGGACATCGACATTTGGAGGCCCGCCCGGGGACTGATCACCCCCGAGACGTGGAAGTGGACAACGCTCCAGTACAGAGCTGCGAGACAGGTGAGTTGGGGATAAGCCTGGGCTCTGGGTGGCGCGCACCTACAGGGCTTTTAGACTCCCCTCAGGCTCACGCGTAAGTGGCGGATTCCTTGGGCCTCACGCGGTGAGTAACATATTAAAAGATGGGAAACATGTTAGGTAGCAACACTAAGAGCGAGGGTGGTTGTGGAGAAAGCTCTCAAGAGCTTACAAAAGTACGCAGGGTATCTGAGCAGGCCCAGTCAGGGAGCTCCCGAGAGGGGTCCGTCAAGGGGAACAAGGATGCTAAGGAGGAGGACGGGGCTCTAGCCTCGGAGTCGTCTGACTCCGAGGACGAGGGAAAGTTGAATGGCAAGGAGGCCAAAGAGACCAGCTGTCAGGAGCCTAAGTCGCTCAATAAGGAGTCGCAGGGTTCTTTTCCAGCGTTGCCCCGCGAATTGCGCTCTGCTCAACCTGGTCTGCGGAGGAGTAGAGAGCTCCTGAGCGCTCCCCGGCGCGAGAGGGAGGCGAAGCCTTCCGCCCCACCTTGGGGGCTGTTTCCAGAGGCGATTCCTCGCCACGAGGCGGCAGCCTGGGAGCTCTCTCCCCTTTCGCCAGAACAGGAAGTGATGCACGGGCCCCCATTTTCCGCCCAATCACGGCCGCTGTCTTATGCTCCGCCACCGGCGGGTCGGTATTTTTACAGGCGGCTTTGGCAGGGGGGACGCTTGTCTCATGAGGTACATCCACCTGGGATAGATAGTGGCCCCTACGGGATATTTCCTGTACAAGTAGCTATGGACCAGGGACGCAATGTATGGGAGCCTTTTGAGATAAAGCAGATTAGAGAACTTAAAAATGCAGTTACAACCTTTGGGCCGACTGCGCCTTACACCATTGCCATGCTGGAGAACCTGTCTTCTGGGCCCCTCACCCCCGCGGACTGGATTCAGCTGGCAAAGGCGTGTCTGCCCTCGGGTAGTTACCTGGATTGGCGAGCCTGGTACACAGAGTTCTCTGCCGAGCAGGCTGAGAAAAACGCCGGTCGAGGAAATGGGAGCTGGGGATTTAGCTTAGCGGCATAAGCGCCAGTTCGATCCCTGGTACCAATAAAAAAAAAAAAAAAAAAAAAAAACGAAAAAGATAAAAATAAAAAATAAAAAATAAAAAACAAAAAGGGGGAGTAAGCCAAGGCCTGCCTCCAAAGGCGCGGTTATCTATGGCATGACAATGGATGGGCCCGGATCCAGTGGTCAGCTGGAACCGAGGCGCGGTTTGTGTTTTCCCACAGGAACCGGGACGAGAACCACTGTGGATACCGGAGAGACTGACACGGGCAACAAAGCCCTCGACTGAAGATCAGACCTGCCCTACTAGAGATCCATCACAGACCAACCAATAAGATGAATAGAAATAGCGGTAGCCCGAAATGGACAA